TTATGGGATCCTAGATAGAAAAAGACGACGTGAAATTGAAGAATGGAAATCCCGACAAATCGCAAGTGGAGAGGCTAAAGACAACGCAAATTTCCAACCCCTCGGTGGTGACTGGTTAGTTCCTCTGCATAATGCAAAATTTATTTGTCTCCTCCACCATTAGAAGATGATTTAATTACTTAATGTGGTAACATTTTATTGATGAGATTAGGCGTGAGAAAGTGAAACGGAGGAAAGCACGAGCAGAACGTGAAGCTGAGGAGCCTAAGAAGAAAGACGAAAAGCAACAAAAACCTGATATAACCAAACTCTCAGAAAATCTCCCGTCGGGTTGGCAGGTATTAAGTTTTCACCGTTTCACTAGCGTTTGTTTTGTAAACGCAAAACACAGTCGCTAAAACATTGTCACTCACTTGATTATCTCTGTCTCGCAGGCGTATTGGGACGATTCTACCAAAAAAGTTTACTATGGGAATACAAGTACATCTCAAACCTCTTGGACACGACCCACTACTACCTGATCTCAATTTTTTTCCTCGACCAAATTTTGTATTTTTTATTTCTAAAACACATTTGCTTTAGATTTCCTCTCTTTATCTTTATGTAAATTCATTACAGAGATCATCATGTTGTATGTACCATATGGTTGATACACACTCACTCCATTCGACGAGATCATTGTACCATTAACCCAATCCTAAACGTAATTTTAGTTTCTCAATACTCTTGAGCCTTAAAGCTTGTATGTCTTGTCATTGTTATCAAAACTTAACATTCCCTCAAAAGTGGTCTGTTTGATTGACAAAATATTGGAAACTCAATCTTCAATATTTTTTTCTCGGTGCGTGTGGTGTGGAGTCGCATATTCTTCCGGCATGCTAACCAAAAAACACGATCGCATGAATTTATTTTCTTTGTGCAAACAGCAAAGTGAACATCCAGAGATTTCTCTACTTATGCATTTTCGTAAAATTAAAGAAAAACAAAGTAAATCCTTTATC